ATCACTTTTGTAAAATAAATAAGAATGAATGTATATTGAATTTATACAGTGAAGACTATTCAGTTTATTTGTACAATTATTTTATACAATATAATTTCTTATTCAGTGCTTTAAGTGTTTCAAGTAGGTCTATTTTTTGTAATTTGTGTCTGTTTACTTGTCTTAAGTATAAGCTTGTTTTTACTTAGGCTAGTATTTTTTATTTTTATTTATTTTATTTTTTTAAATATTGAATTATAAAATTTCAATGCATCTAAATTTATATATAGCTTTAAATATGATTTTTATCCTATCAAAATTAGGAGTATAATTTTGATAGGATAAAAATATATATTATATCAAAATATATATATATATTTGTAATAGCATATATATGCAGTAAGTCATAAACCCGGGGCCCTGTAAGGTCTTAATGCGGCCCTGCCCCTGGGCTGCAGCAGTTTGCCAAAAAGCACACAGAACGTTTTATGCACCGTGAACACATGGTAAGGAGCAGGTGCACAGAAAATACAAACATTTGCATGAATTCGAAAGTTTACGTCACAATGACTTTATGAACGATTAACACAAAAGTCATTCTGATCGTGTTTCATGAATGAGACCCATAGTGTAAGTAATATATAGCTCGGCAAAATGCAGATTCGAACCCGGGTCGATCGCGTCAAATGAATGAAATGCGTCTTTTTAAAATCTTGTTTTAACCAGACATTGGTGGGTGGAGCTAATGTAAATAGCGCTTGCCAACAAGTGTGCTATTTGCACTTAATGTAAAGCCCCACAAATACAATAATGAGTTAATTCAGCGAAAGATTGATCAAACTGAATCATTAAAAGAAGCTGCTTAAATTATTCATTTGTGAACCAGAATACACTTGATTGTTTTTGTTAGGACAGATGTGTGCAGTGTTTTTATCTCATCTAATTCAGACTGCAAATTTACATTCACAAATCAGGACAATATGGCTTTTTTTGTGGTGCTAGAGATTCAACATCACAGCTAACATTGATATAATCGTGACAGCATCTGTACTAAAACATTTACAATACTGCTCATCTCTAATTAACATTAGCATACGTAAAATGCATGGCATGGCTGGTCAAGGTCAACTTTATTATCCCCAGAGGGCAATTTGATTCACAGCCAGCAGCAGTAAACCATACAATCAAGAAAACAATCACCCACCACCACAACACGCATACAAAAACAAAGACTTCCATTAACAATACACATACAATTATTTGGAATTTAAAAGTGAATGGCAGCTGGTATAAAATAATTTTTAAATCTAGCAGTTCTACATAAAGCGACATACTGTCATGTTGAGGTCATGTGATCTCAGTACTAATGAAAGATGATTGGTACCTCTTCATAAATGTAGAATAAAACATTTGTAGAAAGTCTAGAAGTTTTTGTTTGTTTGTTTGTTTCTTGAAGACTGATATGTCTGGAGTCTCATCACAAATGATATATTTCCAAAAGTGCTGTTCATTTTTTTTTATATGTAAATCATTTTTAATCAGAAAAGCATCACACAAAAAGCTAAAAAGTACACCTTTAAGTGGTGGGCAAAACCTTGTTATTATATGTTTTGTAAGACACTCAATTGAGGTCTGTTCCATGACATTTACTGAATAAATAAAAATGAAACAATCCCACATGCATATGAACAAATTTTGTGTAACTTTTGACTTCTATCATTGTTGTAAAGTGTCATATATTAGTGCTATTGAATGATCATTAAGACTACTGTATAAGGTTCGGTGTTAGAGACAAGTGCTCAGAGCTGGATGTTGGCCTCACTGTGTGTACCGTCACCATCAACAGTGCTTTCATTGCCATCCGAGAGGAATCCGCTGCCAGAGTGCCGTGTCCTACACTCCAGTGCTGTAAGTCTCTGCTTCAGGTGCTGTTGAGTCGCTGTGTACTGAGCCTGTAACCGAGCAAACCGAGTCTGTAGTATTTCAAGAGAAGCTTCTAACCTCTCCACTTTCTCCTCAACCTGTTCTTCTCCAATTCCACCTGTGTCCAACTCCTCCAGCAGACCCTCCTTCAGAAGGATCTGTCTTCCCCTCTCTTCCAGAGCTTTCTTAGCATCCGGATACTCCATTACAGCCTCCATCAGGTCATTCTTTGACAAACAGAAGAGGTCAGAGTAGCCAGTGCTACAGATGTTAGCTGTGCGTCGGTTGCTCATTTTGCTGCCTTTGATATTGAGGATGCTAATCTCGCCAAAGCAGCTGCCGGCCGTCAAGTGTGCAAACTGGGTCACCCCATCATCGGCCACAACAGCAAGGCGACCCTCTTTGATGATGTACATCTCTTTTCCTATGTCTTCCTTTCGGCAGATGTAGTCTCTGGGACTGAAGACCTGTGGCCGCAGCTTGAGCACCAGTTCAACCAAAAGCCCAGCTTCACAGTCCTGGAAGATTCTGACCTTCTTCAGTGTGTCCAGATGCCCATTGATAGCGATCTCAGCCCGCAGTTTGTTGGGCAGATTCTTTAGGACATCCTGCTCATCAATTGCTTTCTTGTTGGTCCACAAGTAGTCGAACCATTTGATGACTCTGGCTTCGAGCTCTTTGCTGACCTTTCTGAACTGCATGTAGTGTTTGATGGCATCGATGTGAGCCTGGAACTCGGCCCGTGTGGCATTCATGTTTGATATCATGGCTCCTATATTACCAAAATTGGTGGCAAAAATGAGAACACCAACAAGGAAATCAAAAACAACAAAAAGATACTCCTCATCCCGCACTGGAGCTGGCACTTCCTCAACGGTCGTCAAGTTGAGGGTTGACCAGTAGAGGCAGTAGACGCATCCTCGAGTGAGTGTCCCAAACTCAGGATCAGATATGTTTGGGTAGACCCACTGGTCGGATCCAAATCCCAGAGACTTTTTTCTGAACTGATGTAGTGTTTGATTGCATCGATGTGAGCCTGGAACTCGGCCCGTGTGGCATTCATGTTTGATATCATGGCTCCCACGTTACCAACAATGGTGGCGAAAATGAGAACGCCAACAAGGAAATCAAAAACAACAAAAAGTTCCCCTTCAGGAACTCGAGCTGCGTCGAGACGCTTTGGGAACGCCCT